TGTTTGAACTTTTTTTTGGAATTCCTTATATTTAATTTCCATAATGTTGTAGCTAACGGCAACAAATTTGCATCATGTTTGCATGAACAACAAGTTGGGGCAGCACCCACAATGAAATTAATTGTTTGAAGGAAAAATGATTGTTATGGTTTTTTGATAAAATTAGCTTAAAGGAAACAAAACTAAGGAGTCTATTTTTGAAATGTAGGGAGTAGAAACTAGAGATAATTGCAAATAAAAAAAATGTAAGGAGTAGAAGTAAAAAGTCATCTAAAAATATAATTACTCCATTAAAGTATAGATAGTTAGGATTTCTACTTTAGGGAACAAAGTATTTCTACTTTGTCACTTGACGCCTCTGGGTCTGGATGTTGCTTCTGAAACTTAATAAATGGATTAATTGCATTTCTTTGTTAATTCAACAAAGAGATAAAAAGGCAAATATTACAGCATCTCTTAAAAAGATGGCTGCAAGATTATGCCAGCAAGAACAGCTAATGAAGGGGTCTCTGCAGGGAGCTACATTTCCACCAGGACGACATGTAGGCGTTCAATCTCCTTCCGACAGCCGCAGAAATCCCCCCCTCAGGGCTAAATTTGCAGCAGAGAGAATAGGGCCTCTGTGCAATCAGGAGAAGCGTGCTGGAGGTCCTACAGCTTTCAGGTGTCACTGAGAACATTTGCTCTCCATATGAGAAGATTCAGACCAAATTGGAAGCTGTGGGAGGCGTAACTGCAGAGATGAAAACACTCCTTATCAACTAAAAAAAATATTAAGCATTTAATTGATTAGCATTTTCCTGAACATTTGAAATCATAATTCCCCTTCAGACTGATGGTGTAGGAAACAACAAGGCTTTCTAGGTTACATCTTTGAACAGTGGTAGGAACGCTGGCAAAGGATGAAAAAGGAAACAATCTCTGGTTCTCTGTTGGAGTCGCTTCACAAGCAGAACTTTTTTTTGTAAAAAACATGCAAAGACACTTCAAGAAGAAAAAAACAACAAAAAAACACCTATGGATTAGGTTGAAGAAAAATGAGCTGGACCATCAGGATTTTTGGTCCTAGAAGAAAGTCCTGGGTTTGAATCCAACGCAGTATTACGGAAGAGGATTAGGGCCACTGAAGAAAAAAAAAAGAAACTGATTTTTAAATTTTATTTCAGTTTAACATGGGAAAAAAGTCAGAATTCTGACTTTATTCTCAGAATTTTGACATTTTAATCTCAGAATTCTGACTTTTTTCTCAGAATTCTGACATTTTAATCTCAGAATTCTGACTTTGATCTCAGAATTCTGACATTTTAATCTCAGAATTCTGACTTTGATCTCAGAATTCTGACATTTTAATCTCAGAATTCTGACATTTTGATCTCAGAATTCTGACTTTGATCTCAGAATTCTGACATTTTGATCTCAGAATTCTGACTTTGATCTCAGAATTCTGACATTTTAATCTCAGAATTCTGACTTTGATCTCAGAATTCTGACTTTAATCTCAGAATTCTGACATTTTGATCTCAGAATTCTGACTTTGATCTCAGAATTCTGACATTTTGATCTCAGAATTCTGACTTTGATCTCAGAATTCTGACATTTTAATCTCAGAATTCTGACTTTGATCTCAGAATCAGAATCAATCAACGCCACACTGCAGTAATGTATAAGGTGCATACTATATGGTACAAATATATATATATATACTTTAACAGCCAACATTACAGTTTTAAAAATTCATAAAATTAGTCTGATGTAAAATTACACTTAACTAAGAAAATATATTTTGAAATAAGCCCAGAATTAGCACAAATTAAAAGAAATAAAGGTTTAAAACCGGATCACTTAATGTGTTCAAACTAACCTGAAATCACTGAAAATGAAATACATTTTTAATAATAACTGAATTGAATATGAACACATTTCATCTCAAGACTCTTTACAGTTCACCAGATCATCTAGTTAGATTGATTATTTATTATATTGTAGTTTATTGAGAAGCATCTATTATGAAAAACTAATGCAGGAAATGATACTGACCAGTTAAAGTAGAGAGCAGCAAGTATCTCAAAGCAGGAGTCTAATAAATGTGCCTGTGCTAATATATGTATGGCTGGTTTATCTTTACAGCTGAACTACTTCCTGTCTCAGCGATCATCAGCCTGAACTTCCTACGTTCCTTCCGTTCCTAGATCGCCCTCAGGGCCTCTGATGTGTTTGCACAGAAACAGAGCGTGTTGTAATAAGAGCAGCAGCTTCTGCACAGAGATGTTGACACAGCAGCTTCAGTCTTATCAAACTTTTACATGATGTTAGCAACAGAAATAGAAGCAGGGCGAGGGAAGCGAGGCAGAAACGCTCATTAATGCTCAAGTACCATTAAAACCGGATCTTTTTTATTAACTTCCTCCTCTTAAAAGAGATTAAAAATGCTCTTTTAACGGTAGGAGCAGGAAAAAGAAACGCAGCTTTATTCACATCCTAATGCTCAGTTTGTTTTATCTTCAAAGACGTCTTCGGGATAATAAATTCAGGAATTTTATTTGATGTTTCCCAACCATTAAATCTTTATTTTTATCTTAAACAGACGTCAATCAAGATCTAATAGATATCAGAGTTTGGCTGCTTTTCCCTCCCTTTCCAGTTAGACTATGGTTGTTAATGAACCCTTTAGACCCGGTCCAAATCCGATGGAGGTAATGTTTTGTACAGAAAGGAGGAAACATGGTTGAGTATCAACAGAATTTATTCCAGTCATTTTTAACAAATCATTGATACAAACACAGATTGTAGAGGAAAGTCTCCCCTCATATTAGGCACTTAGATTCCAGCCATGAAAGGCAGAGAGTTTCTGCCATCTTTCCCTTTTTATCTAAAAGTCAGCCAGCGAGTCAATACTCTCGGCTTGCAGCTTTACTATACAAGATGCTGCTGGAGTCACTCTGGCCACCAAATGTCAGAATTAGAATGACCATTTTGGCCGACCCACAGAGAAGTGTGAACAGCTATAGAAGTGAACCGATGTAGCGCTATAATGTGTCAGAAGACATGTTTTAATAGGAGGAGAATAATAGTGTTAGAGTTTAAAACAACCTCCTGCAGACTTCAAATCAGGTTATTTGCAAAGTTTCCCATTTAAAGTTCATCTCAGGCTTTTTCTTTAGGGTGATGACAACCCAAAAACAAACGGGGTCAAATGGAAACCACCATTTATATCTGATTAATGTCCCTCAAAAGGTGCAGCATCAGAAAACAAGCTTCCTTGAAAGTTATTAACACTTTGAGAAGGAATATACTTTAATATAATATCCCATTTGCAGTTGCCTTTTGAAACGGTGCCGAGAACGGTCAGAGCACCTCAGCAAAGGTAGCTGAGTGTAACTGGACCGTGCCAGACGCAACCAAACCGCACTCAACAGGGTTCCTACAGCATAAGGCGAGTTAAATTCAAGACTTTTTAAAGACTTTTTAATGCCACTTCAAATAAAAATTTAAGACCAAATTCACAAGAAAAACCTGCTTGCGACAACTTAACCCAAAGGTTTATTTTAACATAAACCACTGCACTAATGTTTCAAATGTTGAAAAGACAGATATATTTGAACAATTATTTAACTGAATTCACAAACTTTGTTTTAGCAGGGAACAAAACAAATCAGTTTTAAAGCCCCAACATAACCAGTGCTAAGTCTTTCTGCAGCTATTTTTCTTTGTATGGTTTTCTTAGTGTGTTTGATTTGGTGATAAGTGGAGGCGTTGCAGAGACAAGGGTGGAACTAAACTGAGAAATACCGGCTGTTTCTCTGTAACTCCATTTTGACGCTTTGTGTTTCGCGCTTCGCATGTGCGACTCCACTGCCTTAATTCCCATCGTTCTGAGCTTGAATGACTTCTTGCACTAAATCCACTGAGCCTCATGTATGTTCCCTGGTTTTAGCCATGGAGGAAACTCTTTTGGTTACATTTACACTTGATCATATTTTCCAGACAAAAAGTTAATGGTGCATCTCCCAAATGTCCCGGCCGCAACAACGCTGCGGCCGGGACATTGGTTCCGCTATCGGGACGGAACCAATAACGGCGAACTGTTATTTTTTTAAATAAAAATAATTTTCAATTTTAATGTCTATTTAGATTACAAAAATAAATCGTAATAAAAATAATCCTATTTATGTATTACAAAATAAGACATACGAAAGACTGATTCAAGACATTTTAATACCAATTAAGGCCTTAATTTTATTTTGAAGAATTCAATGCCTTTTAAGACTTTTTAAGGACCCGCGGGAACCCTGACTAAATCTAGTACTAGTTTAACTGTAGGGCTCGGCACGGTTCATCTGTTGCTTGGTTCTCTGATAACAAAGAGCGCATCAGCAGAGCTCATCCTCTCCTATTTACAGTCAGCCGACTCATTTCACAGGTTTTCCGGCATGTTCAGCTTTGCAATTCCCAGATCTCTCCACCGGTTCACAACACAAACTTCTTCTCCGCTTATTAACAATAAATGGCATCAAAAGGTCGTGGTGCGACCTGGCATGATGCCGAGACAGAGAAGAATGCTTTCTTCACCTGACATTCCCTAAACGACTAAATATCAAATATAAACAAACATAAGTTCCTGGATGTTATAGGTGCCGCCATTTTTGTTTGCGTAATTCCGACCTTGAGAGCTGTAGTATCGTGGACGGCCAATAGGAGGCGAGGAACCGTGCTAGCATGATCTGTAAACGGTTGTAAGAACCGAACTCGGCACGGTTAAATGATCTAAGGTCGGTTTAGCCTCCTAGCTCGGTTTAGCTCTGGAATGACGGGAGGTTGATTTGAAGCAATAGTGATGATTTCCCATAAAGCCCAAACCTCCGGATGCAACTCTGCCTAAATGCTCATCTACAGAAATGATCGCTTTACTACACAGACAGCAGAATCCTGCCAGCAGCTCTAAATTATTGGTAGTAAAGGTTAAACTTCCAATTAGGGGGGTTGTGGTGTGTAATTCTTACCAGCTCAGTGTTCAGGCCTGCTGGACGATCATGTCAACAAGCAGCTCTCTGTCCTGCACAAAAAAACAACAGAATAAAATCAGTCCTTCTAGTTTTTTTTTTTTTTTTTTTAATTTTTAAAAACACCTCAATATGCATTTAGTTTTAAAAGAATTCCTTGAAAAAAAGAAAAAAAAAACTCTCTGTTTTTGTTTTCTTCAGAAACAAACATCCACTTCCGTTGGGATTTATTGAGGCAGAGCACCACCAAGCAGTGCGTTATTGGAAAATGGAGGGAAAGTAATGATTTTAAAAGCTGGTTCCTGAGATCCGGAGCAAAGTCGTCAAGCTCCTCCATCCCAAATCAGCCATAAGTCAGAAAACACTCAGATCCACCCAGCCAGGCTGCAAACACACAGCACACCTAACTGTGATGGGATGCATTTAAGTTCAAAACCCAAAAGAGGTCAGGAACCAGAAAGATGACTCAGCATTTCTGCTCTAACAGCTACTGGATTAAACCTATCAGAATATAAAGCAACAGCTGATGGAAAAGCTCTGAATATAATAAAGAAATAATTTGCTATTTCAGATATACTTTCCCCTTTCCTTCCTTTGTCGTTCCCTTTATCCTTCCTTTCCTATTTATTCCCTCCGTCCATTTCCTTCCACACTTCCTTCCCTTTAAGTCCTTGCTTCAATAAAACTTCCCCTAAATACAATCCCCTCTTTATATAGTTTTAAATTTCTCAGTCTTTTACCAGTTTTCCTTATAAGAAAGATATATTCAAGTTTCCTTCCTTTTTAAATAGTAGATAGAATAAGTATTAATGAAACGGAAGACCAACAGATAAACATTTAATTCATTAATCAAACTGTAAAATATTCACTCATACAGGAGGCTCTTTAGAATGAAGCGCTGCATATGTAGCTGCTGGTTATACTGGATCCCTCACAGAAAAACAGGTCGTTCCACTCATCATTCAGCATAACTAAACTAATTCACTGGAGACGGGGGAGTTAAGACAAGAAGCAGAAAATTATCTTATAAATTGAATTAAAAGCAGAAAGATCTGAAGGAAAACAGAATGCTGCCAATTAAATACTTGTGGGAAAGTCAAATACTGCAGAAGGATTGATGATGATCCACAGTAACCTCTGGATCATCTATGTAAAGTCAATCCAAAACAAGATGGCGCCGCTGTTAAACAAATCAACCAGCGGTGAAGAGTTTGTCACGGAGCAAATCAACTAACCTACAGAGAAATGGAGCCAAATCTAAAAACATGGATGAAACAAGGACAACTCTTTTGCTTCTACTTTCCCAGAAAACCCTGAAACATTTAATTCAAACCACAAAACTTTGAAACACTGAGGCTCTGGCATCGTGATACGGGAATGATTGTGATAATTCCAGGCATATTTATAATAATGATCACAGAAATCATTATTAAAAGGCGTTTAGCTAGGAATATTTCATAGGGTGAACACCTTGGTGTTTAACATCTTCAGGCTTTACGCGGCGTAGCAGGGTAGGGGGGTATCCTCGCACCGAACATTTTGAAATTTAGACTCAGAAACGCCATTTCCTTCATTTTTAGGGTAAAGGCAGCTAACTTTTTGTCTTTGTTCCAACAATACTTTTTTCCTGATTACTGGAAGTATGCGAGCTTGACTACAGGTGGACATTTCATAAGGAAGAGATGCAGACACTCTGCTGCACCTCTCCCAAATTGTAGGAGGCCTTCCTGTTTGGTACCTTATCGCCTTGTTTTATTTGTCTGACCGCCATTGTGGAAAACGACTGGTGAAGATGGAGCAGCTAGAGGAGAGAGGTGCGCGAGAACGCTGGGATCCCCACTCTTTTTGGCCTTCATGTCCGTCCGTTGTCACAAACTTGCCCCCACTTCCCACCGCCTCAGCTGTAGCTTTGCTGTGTTTGATGTGATCAGTGGGTAAAAAGTAGTTTTAATATGTTTTTAGGCCACATAAAGGATTCAAGATTACGTTTCCTTCAAAGATTATTTCTCTGTGGGAGCCGCTCAGACCCCCACATACCGGCGCTGCGCTGTCACTGGGAATCCCCAGCAGCAGCTGCCTCAGGCCCGAGAGCCTCTCCAGGGTTTTCCCCTCCTGTTGGTGGCGGCTGGAAGTAGATGTTAGCGTTTTTTAGGTCTGTGCTACAAACTGCAGGCAGCAGGATAATAAAAGCCAACATATTCTGCCGGCAGGTTTCTACATTTGAAGTTAATTTAGGCGTTAATAAACTGTTTCAGAGGAGTGGTCATAGCGCTCTGCATCAGCAGTGCTGCGTCTGACTCCCTGCCAGCTCCCACATCAGCTTCTCTCATTGGTTGATGATTGTTCACTTTGTATCTTAGATGTTGAAGTTAAAGAAAGATTAAAAACTGATATTTCCCACAACCAACTAATCAAATGGCCAATTTTCTGCTAGTAGAAAACAAATCTGGTGGAGTTCTTTGTGATTTGAAGCAGAACGTTCAGTGTTACAGATGAATTTAAAGCTATTATCAGCATTTAGAGCTTCAGGACCAGAGTTAGTAAATAATTGAGTGGGGGCTGCTGTCCCTCTGCCTGCCCAACCATGTCCCTGTGCACGGGGGTAACTTTGGATATCTGGACCCTGGTGTTCTCTGTGTTAGTCTGTATTCATTGGGGCAGGCCTGGGGACCTCACGCTTGCCATTGATCAAAGCCCCCTGCAGACGAGGTGTTATATACTTTATATACGCCAAGACACACATGTGTATACACTAGGGATGGAACGGTTTATGAAAACTGTCTCGGTTCGGTTCGCGTGTGTTTCGTTCGGTTCATGCGCTGCTCCTTTTTCTCATAGAGGAAGCGTTTACACTCCAGAGCAGAAGGTGGCGGTACTGCGACCAAAGCCAACCGCCAGTAGTAAACAAGAAGAAGAAGAAGCGAAGCAGCGTAGCCGGGTGTAGCAGAAAAAAATCAGTTGTTGTGGAGAATTGTGTGGGTATGGCGAGTGGGAAAGAACAGGAGTTGGAAGACGCGCCAGCAGCACTTTATAGGTCTGCTGTATGGAACCACTTTGCATTTAGAGTGACCTACGATGACGGCGGGAAGAAAGCTGTGGATAAAAGTGCAACAGTGTGCAAGCATTGTGCAACATGTTTTGTTTGTGCTAACAGCAACACGACCAACATGTCAGGCTAACAATCAACATATACCGAACCGAACCGAAAACCGTCACCACGAAACCGTGAACTGAACCAAACCGTGGATTTTGTGAACCGTTCCACCCCTAGTATACATCACAGGCGGGTGGATCCGGTGTTCATGGATATACTTAATGCTAAGCCGTAGCTTCAACTATAAATAGCTCAGAAAACAGTGTAATCTTTTAGGGTTTGTATATATGTATTTACTGCGAGTGCATGGGATACTCCCTCTTTTGTTGTGGTTGCTGTCTTTTCCCCCTCATGTCTTGCATGCATGGAAGCAGTTTCTAGAAGACTGTATTTTATGCTTTTTTCTCCTTTATTCTTTCTCCTTCCCTTCCTTTCCTTAATTCTTTGCCGCTCTCACTTTCTCACCTTTCTTTCTGTCTCTGTGTCAAATGCATGCAACCTTTCTCCCTCTTCAACCATCACTTCAAATAAAGTTTCATCCATAGTTATCAAGTGGAATCTGGTGGCTGCAGCTAGTGAAAGTAAATCTTTCCAGCCAATATCTAACACCAGGACACCAACTCTCAATGCAATATTGGCAAACAAGTACATGTTGAGAAAAATGGCCGATATGCTAATGCATTAGCTGATTCATCAGCAGCCATTTAATATCAGTTGTTAATGTCTTGTTAGATTTGTTTTTTTGTTAAAAAATTTAGACTTGCTTAATATTTCTTATCATAGTTTCATTTTTATCACGAGATGAAATAATTGATTTGCAGATATTCACCCATGATAGAATCAACATATGGTCCTTTTTCATAGCAGAACTCATTAGGTTTGAATTTCTGCCGTTTATTTTTCATATCCGAACATAACGAGCTCATCACAATGTCTGATTTTCTAAAATATCTCTGTATTCTTAAAGTGTGATAGCAATACGTGTTATAGAAGTGATTCAGTCACTCTGCAGCTGCTCTCTTTGTCTGCTGTATTCAGCAGCACAGAGTTGGGTCAATTATTGAAAAGACAGAAAAGGACACAGGAGGGATTCATCACACGCTTGTTCTCTAATTAACCGGACATTTCCATTCATCAAGCCATCTGCCCATCCAGCCCAGATGTGTCCAGCAGTAAATACAGGCTGCTGGGCTGTGGCAGCAAGAAGCCACTGGAGACTAAATAAATAGTTTTGGTGACTCAACTTTCTCCATCTCATTCTTTTTTTTTCTTTTTAGAAAGTTCAATCATAAACCAAGGAAACTTTTAGTGGGATTTTCACCAAGTTTCCAATAAATGTTGGAAGTTTTCTTTTTTTAAACCAGACAAGTTAGGATTTGATCCAGATGTTTCTACCCAGCATGTCAGAGAGAATTACAGAAGTTAAAGAGAAACGTTTAAAACATACTCTGCACATTTACTTGAAATATTGCTTTGTAATATTCTAAAGGCTGGTTTATGCTCAGAAACCAGGGCGTCTGTGTTGTAGTTACCAGATGGCGGCTGAAGCATCACTGCTGCTCTAGCTGCGCGGTGGAAAAAGTGGGTCTGATGCGCTTTGGGCGGAGCTACTCTATCCTTTCTTTGCCTGGAACAATGGTGGATGAAATGAGTCGTTTGGCTTATTTTAATAAATAAAGCTACGATCGGACTGCAAGAGCTGGAAGCAGCAAAAAAAAGCATTTCTGATGCTCGTCCACATTAAGGTCAGACCTCCAGTAAAGTGAGTCCAGATGCTTCTGATGCTCCTGAGTTCGATACCAGAGAGAAGCTTTGCTATATTAGCTGTGATAAGCGGGTAAAAAGTAGTTAGAATCTATGTTGAAGTGAGGAAATCCAACTGAAAACATGGTCTGTGCAGTCAGTTCATCCAGATTATATGGAAGAGGATTAGGGGCACTGTAATAAATGAATAAAAGT